ATATTATTAATATAATTATTATTTTTATAAAATCAAATATGAAGAGATGCACAGCAGTGTCAGTATTATTTTACATTATTTATTATCACTTGGTTTACACCTCAACTACACGAAATAAAAACTTTACATGTAGCCACCTTCCTACGAACTGTCTCCATAATACTGGGCTGTCATTAAGAGCCGGGGGCTGGGGATTTCCTTGGCTGCTTTCAAAGGAAAATAGAAGGAAAATAGAACCAAAAGAAATCCCTAGCTGTTTGATTCCCTGTCTACTTGCTGTATTTACCTGGCAAATTGAAATCTTAGTGACAGCCCTGTAATATATTATAAACTAAAATTAAAAGATCTTTTATGCTTGACATCAGATAACTCTTACCAAAAACATAACCGAGACGTCAAAGTTAATGCAAAATAACAACATACAATGACATACAGTACCTAATATAAACCCTTCCTGGCACAAAAATTCTGACTTGCAGAATTTTTTGCTGAGGCCAGCCCTCAGGATGGTTACACTGACTGAAAATACATACAGTTCTGCAAATAAAATCTAATAAGCAGCCAGCTGCTTTGATAACATAAAATAATATACGGAAATGTTACAAAAGAATACCAGTGAGGGTTTGAAATGTATGAAATGTGTCTCCAAAAATATTATATTATTTTGTCACTGTGCTCTGAAAGGGATGTCTGCAAGCCACTAAAAATTTCACAAAATAGCAACGACTAAATACTGAACAACAAAATTAACAGTTCGCTATTGCTGCATTGTGATTTTTAAAATTTATAAAACTACTACCACAAAATTGGGGCTAAAATTGGTTACATATACAGTGTGCCCTGTTCATGGATGTAAGTCAATCAACTACACGTCACAGTGTACATGTATATGAAGTTAACAGTAGTACTGACATTAAAATACCTCTGCCTTGATTACTTTACATGACAGACTTGTACATTGTACATCAACCCATCTCAACTGCAAGACAGCATTGTCTTGCTACAGAATTAAGTCCAATTTTGCACAGTGCAGATGAAATATTACTCAGATTACATCTATCTGGATAAAGATCACGCCATGCTACCAACACTTGGTATGCCATCTCCTGCACACCATCCTTGCTGCAATCATTCTCAATTTCCTTAATCTTGCTCTCACCAACACCCAACACACGGCCAAGTTGTCGCCATTTGCTATTTCCAACAAGTTTCTGTGCAAGATCTTGAAACTTCTCTTCCCAGTTTATGGATTCTTGAAGTCTTCGTTTTCTTGCATTCTTTTTTACACAGGGGCATATCTTTGGTTCCATTTCTATTATGAATGATGAAATTTACTTCAGATTGTTTAATATAATTATGTTATTATTTTATGCTTTCCAAATGCCTTCAGACTATAAAAGAACTTAAAAACCCTTAATATGTAACTCAATAGAAAAGGAAAAGAACTGAGAACAAGCTGACATAATTCAACAGTATAGTGTAACTCATGATTAATTTTTATACTTCATACTCAAATACAACTGTATGTTTTGGGTAGTGTGTCTAATATTATGGACAACACATTTTAGCAACAAAGTCAAAGTTACCATTATTTTACAGTTTATGGAAAAAGCCTTAGATGTAGGCCAATATTGATAACCTGCTAGATTGTCCTTCTAAATTGCCTGAAATTTCTTAAGAAACAGAACAAGGATTTAACAGTATTTCAAAAGTCACTTAGAGCCTAATGTTCCATGCAGTCCACCCCTTATTTATTTATTAATTTTATTCCATTGTCGTCATCTCACCAGATCTCTCTTCATCCATCACTCTTGCCATCTCAGTTCTATTTGACATGTGTTGTTTAGTCAGGCTGCCAGGTGAGCCAGTTTTGTAAAGAGCTGAGATGAACTTATGTGGCGTCCCTCCACGGCGTTTGTAGTCAGCAATGACTGCTGCCATAGGATTGTCACAACCACTGAAGTTGCTTATTTCTTTTGGAGTGTAACCCAGACTCTCTGCAACTTCATGCCAGACCTCATCCCCCATGTCTTTCTCAGCCTTAATACTCAACAACGCTAGAATTAAGACAATCAGTCTGTCAGTTAAAACAAGTCTGCATTTTGACCTAAAAAACTGAATTTTAAAGCCAAGGATGCCCTAGAGGGAAGAAAGACTTAACTCTTTAAATAATAGACGATTCCACAGTTTTTTGAACTTTTAACATGCACCAGTTAGGAAAATCCGTCCACACCACTGGAAAGAGCAGCTTAAAATTAGTCAAATTGCCAAGTTTAAAAGCAATAGGTCTTAAATGAGCAAAGATACAGCTTTGCAAAGTTGCGAAAATTTACTGATATTTGGTTAGTAGGGGGCAAGTTTGTGCCCCCCACCATACAAATGTCTAAAATTTCGAAACTTCACAGAACAAAATCTTTGATAGTTTTCTACGAGTCAAGTCACCTTCAAACTTGGCAATTTTAGTAATTTAAAGGCACTCTTTCCAGTGCAGTTGACAGATAATTTTTCCCTAACTTGTCCAGTTAAAAAAAACTGTTGAAAGGTCTATTATATAGTGGCAGTGCCTCTGATGAAATTTTCCCTACAATAAAGCACACAAACAAAGCCTTAAGTATTCATTAGTTACGGTGAAGTTAAGCTGTATCATGCATTTCCCTTTGTGATGCCAGTTTCTCTAACTTACCTGTAAGTTCTTTAGTTAACTGTACTTCCCAGTCCAAGGAGCAGTCTGTTGCTTCAGTTTCACGAGGCTAAAATAAAATGTGTATAAATAGAACTGAGACTCACTAACATGCACCCCAGACATGACTTATAGCCAAGAAGTATAAGTCTAAGACAGAGAAAGCAGTGGACAAACAATAGAACCAAATACTACGCTAGCCCTATTAACAATGAACAGAGCTTTCTAGTAGCAAGATTCAATAATTTGGTGACAGAAATAGTGAAAATTGGTCATTATAAAACCTTCATGTACGAATGAGGGTCAAACCTCAAGTGAGAAACCTCAAATACATGTATATAAAACAGGAAACACGCCAGGTGTTTATGTTTATCCAATGGCATGTACAAAAGAAAAAAACAAAATGCATCTTGGTGAAACAGATATGTTCCTTATGCAGATTAAACGGAAAATATCAGTGATCATCAATGCATTTGTCCATAAAGGAAACTATGATCACTATCATGGTTACTTTTTCCATCTAGCATTTCTATAGCCTGAGAAAACAGCCTACATTTCCTGAGGCCACCACTGGTTTCCCTAGAGGAGTATTATCATGACGCCAGGGCGACTTTTGCGCCAGCACGATTTCACTCCAGTTGCCTCTTGTGGCTCTGTATTTGTTTACATGATACCAGCACAAAATGTCAGCCAGTGCAAGTCACATTGGGGTGAGTTCACCCCAGTTGTACCAGAGTGAGAATTTCACTCCAGTAGGAAATTTTGTAGCGGTATCATGTAAATGCGAAATGACCACTCTTCTGGTGTGAAATCAGTCTGCCAGTAGACTGTAATGGGTAATGCATGCATAGTGTTTGCCAATCTGAATGGCACGTGTATTTTATCAATGTGAAGTGTACCTTCATACAAACGCGATATGAAATGACTCAGTCGTCATGTAAACGTGATACAAAATCAAGAAGTCATTGCGGTATGAAACTTGCCAGTGCAAGTTTTCTCATGTAAACATCCCCTAAGAAATGACATCTAAGAACCAGTGCAGAAATTGCATAATAATGCATCTTTTTCCAGATATGGGTAATGCTTCTGATTGAACAATACAAATTTTCAATTAATCAGAAGCACTACCCCGATCTGATGATGCATTTAGTATGGAATTTCTGCACCCATACCTCAAATGTCATTTTACAAGGAAACCAGTGATGGTATCAGGAAATGTAAGCTGCTTCTTCAGGCTAGCAAATCTATACACAACTTTTTTTATCAATTGTAAGAAAACTTGTGACCCTAACTTAGTAGACATACCTTATTTAAAAGAAAGGAAAGAACAGGTTTGTTGCCACCATACTGTGATGGCTGCTCTACAATGACACTTCCAAAGTTACCATGATCAGGAGGCTCGCCAGTAAATTTACATCCAAACTGCATCACAAATGGTCGACCCGTGAAGTTCTCTACTGCCACAAGTTGCTTTACCCCTACTGAGGGGTCTGCTTTAAAATGATGTGATTCAAGTCTGAAGGAAATAAACAGTGTACAGTAAGTTTTCAAATGTTACTAACTTTATGTACATATCTTGACCCTTCAGTTCAATGAAGTAAACATGTGTCAGCTGAAGAAGGAAAACAAATTAATTAAAGGTTGAGAATAACCCTTTCCACGCTCATTCAATACTACAAGAGCAGATGCATGCTTTTGTAAACTAGCTTTTGTTTTGTATGCAAGAAATTGGCTCATGAAATAAATACCGGGATTTGGACCATATTTGACTCCAGTGAACGCTAACCTTAAATAAGCACCTACCCTGAATAAATGCCACACCCTTCACTAACAACGAGGTACTTATTGACTTCTATTTGTTTCTTGACATTGCTAATGCTGTTTAGTATTGCTGTTAAACTATGTACTGTTATTTATCTGGTAGTAACTAACTTTTAACACATTCTTAAAACAAAGAAAAGAGAAGACTACACGTACATGTCTATGTACACCTAACTGCAAAGTTAAAACATGCTTTACCAACAATTAAAAAAGATTATTGTGTGCCTAGTGAAGCTCTTTTCAGTAATACGGGGGTTTTCTTAGTTACCTAATTTTTAACTTTCCAGTGCTTAACATCTTTGGTGCAATGCACTTGCCCACAAGAAGAGGAAAGTTCCCAATTCCCTCTAGAGGCTTGCCAAATCTGTAGCACACTACACAGATTCCAAACCTTCCTCCAATGCTGCTGATTTCTGACATCAATGCTTGAAAGGACACATTAAAGTGAAACAAGGGTATAAGGCTGGAGACACCAAGCTTTGCTTCCCACAGGACTGAATCAATGATGTCCCATAAAACTCTGAAGTATGAGAAATGCTCCACAGATGAAAGTAAGCTGTCTGTCTCCATACCTCTCTTGAATTTCCTTGCCATCTGGTAATGGCAAACGAACAGTCACAAAATCATGTGTGTCAGGATTGAAGACACAGCCATGAGGACCCAACTTGACAACAGGTGTAGCAAGAGCAAGTGCATCTGCATCTGAATGATCCACATTATAAGGCTTATCTGCATAAAGGACCTTGATGGAGGCTTCAATGTCATAAAGCAGTGACGTTTCTGGAAAAAGAACTTCCACGCCAGGAACTTCAGAAACATAAAGACAACCACCAACTCCAGCCCTGATAGTCTTACGAGCCTCAGGGTAGCCTTTTGAAACAACAACGGCAAAGAGACTAAAGTGGTAGGCTTTGATTTCCACATGCGAAGCAAACACATTGTAGTCCTTAGGGCTCATTCTCTCCCATTTTACCCTTTGTCCAACACCTGTGTCACTGCAAAGACATATCACATGATCATTCTTTCCCACTTTGACGTCACAAGGTAGGCTTATAACAGCCGGATCATCTTCATAAAATCTTGCTCCATGTGGTTCCATCTCAATTACTTCACTTGCAACAACGTGAAGATGACCAAGCTTAGGGTGGAGTGACACATCCTCAACAACATCAAGAGTGAATTCATGCTGAAGATACCCAGAGAGGTTTTCCTCAGGAATGATGACACAGATGTCTCCAAGAGTTATGTGTCGACGCCTGTCAGGGAGTGACTCCACCTCTGAATCAACATCATAATCATCATCAGAGATATCACTCAAGCATGAACTGCTGTCATCACTTGAGAGGTTTCTTATTCTTAAAGCTTTATTGTTGTTTACAGCATCATCCGACATTGACTGATAACTCAAGAATGAATCTTTTCTGAGTAAAGGCAAGTGCATTGCCATGTCAGCACTTTCTGTAAAAGATGAGCATGTTCCATACTCACTAGTTGTCATACACCTACGTCTCTTCCCAAGGTTCTCTAAATCAAGACTAAAATCTAACTTCCTCCTTGAAAATGAAACCTTTTCAGGTTGATGCTGGTTCTTCTTTTGTTGAAGATAGTCAATGTTAAGCTTTCTTATCTCTTGCCTCAGCAGGATCTTTTCTCTTTGCTCTTTTATGAGGTTCAGTTGATTGAGCTGTGACGCCATTAATCCTGACACTGTGTGCTGGTGCTGGTCTAAGTATCCTGGGCCAAGTGGGCTCTCAGAGGATGGCACAGCTGGATTGAATAGATCATTTTTTGACAAACATTCAGAAATACTTGCAGGAGGTACCTCTTTAGGCAAGCTTTTGGATTCTGTGCCTGGGTGATGTGACAAATCCTGATCACATTTACAGCTGCCTTGATGCCTTGTGCAGAGTTTTACTTTACAAGAGGGCAAACTTTTTCTTGTAGGAGAAAGCAACAGTTGGTAATTCAAGTCTGCACCTTTGCTTTCAACTTTCATCATGGTCTTTATTCTAAAGTACTTGCACATTTTCTCAATTCCATGTATATACACTTCTCTAGGAATATTCTCTATCAGATTATAGAGGATATAGAGGTGGCGAAGATGTGGCAAGCAGAGCAACCACGGTGGAATAATCTCAATGACATTACCAGAAAAATTGAGCCATTCTAGCAAAAGAAGATGCGAGAGGCAGAAGGGAATTTCCTGAAAACCGTTGTGCACCAGGCTAAGCTTCTTTAGTGTAGACAATTTGTCAAAATCTCTGGGCAATGTTTTCAGATCATTTTTTCCTAAATAAAGTTCCTCCAAGCAAACCAGGTAGCAGATTTCTCTTGGTATTGACTGAAGGCCATTATAACTTAGCTCTAGGATTCTCAAGTTGAGGATGAGAGGCTTCGTCAAAACCTCTCGAGGTACACTTGTGATGTTCTGCCCGCGAAGATCTAAGAAGCTTTGGCATGACTTGCTGGCCCTTTCCAATACCTTATCCTTTTCCTTGTGCCCAAAAGGACTTCTCATTTTCCCTCCATGGTGGGAAAGGCATCACCTACAATAATAAAATAAGACACTGTAAAAAATTACAGGAGATTCTCTTCCTCACTTTGTATGAGAACTTGAGAGAAGAGAGTGTTCACATTAGTGAAGCCTTCTGAGATGGGTAGCCTTGTTGCTTTATTCTCTGGACAAATGTCAGCTTACTAGCAGCTGTACATGTTGCTGGCGATTTTTTCTGTATCAAACACGACACCCATTATGGCTGATTTTCGTATAATATCCCAAATGCTCTAAAAACCTAAATAGCCATAACATGACCAAAAAAAAGACTGAATTAAAAATGGTGGTAAAAGGTTGTTCATCTGAGTTTGAGTTTTTTTTAAATTTTTTGTGTAAACTGCATGCATTGCTTAACTTCACAGTCTGATTTTAGCATTTACAGTGTCAGTCCCACTTGTCAGACCACTTGTTGCATTCTCTAAAAGACCGCACAAGAACACTGCAAGAATCACGCTCGGCAACTTGGACTACGAGTAAGAATACAGCTTTACTAGGTGTGTTAGTGAAGTTTCAAGAAAGGGTCTCCATTTATATTGGTACCGCCGATCAACAAAGTATTAAACAAGACACGAAAACGTCAGCCCAAAAGTCAAAACAAAGTCAGCGGGTCAGTCAGTGGTGAAAAAGGATGATATTATTGATCGATCAAGCGTACGTGATTGAAAGAGAAGCCTTGATCCACCTTAAGAACAGCTGATTTTCATAAAAAACAATAGATTCAAATGTACAAGAAACTCTATATATGAAAAAAAGACGTTACTAACTTACTAGTAAGTTACAGTACAATTAAGTTAAACTCTTGTCCCTGAGAGACCTCGAGTGACTTGTTTATAAGTGAAGTTTAGGAGACAATTTTTGTAAACAGTTTTTCTGTAAGTTCTGCTTCTCTATAGATCTCTATTACAAGCTACTTTGAAAGTGTGTGTTTCATTTACGATTGTTTTGTAAGAGGACGAAGAATAAGTACCTGCACTCTTTCATCATGAACTATTTTTCACCTTCTTTCTTTCCACACCGCATAAACAGCAGCCATGTGAACGCTCCACTAACCACTGACTGCCAAGCCTAGGCAAGCGCATGACAAACAATGGCGCTTTGTTGTTGCTATGGAGACGCTATTTTCGACGCTCAGCAGGCCGTTTCTGACAACACGTGGTCGTGTGTCAACAGAAAAGTGACAAACGTTATACAAGAAAAGAAGTCACTTAAAACTATAAAATTCTTTTCGCTTGCCATACAAGCTGTAGTCTGCTACATAGCCGTTTTTAGTGTCGTCACGCAACGATCCTCCTGTTTGAAAAACGGCTATGTAGCAGACTATACAAGCTGCAGAATTTATGATTCTTCAAAACGTTAAAAATTATACCACTACCCCCCTCCCCCCCCACCTCTCATTTGAGCCGACGTTTATTCGAAACTTGTGGTCAGGTCACAGTATTAAAATCTCTTACCCATAAAAAAAATCTTATTTTTTAATCTATCAGTAACAGTATGGAAAATCCCATTTGAAAGGTTGAATGCCTGATTTTCGTTTGGAACCAATCACATGTCTGTTGCCTCAGCCGAGGCGGGGGAGGGGGGGTGGGGGTGGGGGTTAAGAAAGTTGTAAACGTGAAGGCTCCGCCCGAAAGTCCCAACCCCTTACCCTGTTATGTCATCATCATCATCAATCTTTATTTATACACGAAATGGTATCACTTTTACATGGTCTTTCTAGGAGTCGTGAGTAAAATTATACTCAAATACTCTAAGAAACTACTTGACTATGTTCCCATGATATGAAGTTTTGAAAACATTTAAACTAGGCAGATTTCTAATCTCTGAGGGAATCTTGTTCCACAGAACAGATCCTCTGTAGTGTAGGCTCCCTTTTGCAGAGCCAGTTCTGGTTCTGGAGACATGACAATTTAACTCCGAATTTCTAGGATTGTGGGAGTGTACATTTGAGGTGTTGGTAAAGATTCGCCTCAGATATGACGGGGAAAGATCATTATGGATTTTATACATTGTCACAGCCAACTGTTTAAGTCTTACATATTCTAGCCTTTCCCAGCCAAGCTCATCCAACAAAACACTTGAGCGAACCTCATAGTTAGAAAAGGTGAGAATTCTAGCAGCCGTATTCTGCATCTTTTGAAGTTTGTCTGCTAGTCCCTTATTGATATTATATTACATACCAATCTTGACCGAGAAGGTACTCCTTTCGTATAAATTCTATGGACAAAAGGTACCCCTTTCACTTACCTGCTGTAAATGCACTGTCTTTGAAATTTCCTTAGACTTTTTTCTCGACTTTTTTTTTACAGCCAAAAAAAAAAGCCGATAAAAAGGTACCCCTTTCAGGCGGAGTCTCGCCGCATAGGCCATTGAAGGGGGTACCCCTCCCCCCCCTCCACCCCCACCCCTCTAGCTTTTTCGCCGATTATGACTCCTGGGTTGTGCCACTTTTTCCCCAAGACTCGGGTAGATTTTTTCTCGGTCTAGGAAATAAACACTTGCATTAATTATTCTTGGTGAAAACTACAGCTGTAACCACTTGGCTAACGTTTACAAATGTGTAGCCAGTATGTGTTCCAAGACTTTGCAGTGGCTGCTATATCAGTCTCAGGGAACTTATCAGTTCTGCAAAGTACCAAAGTAAAATTCATGGCTGTTTGTATAATTTTCACAACTCGTACGAATCCTGGCGTGCACCGTTGTAAAAAAATTAGTTTAAGGACAATTTTAGTCTGGAAGGAAATGAGGAAATACACCATTTTATGTATACAACAATCAATGTTCAAAATCTTGAGCACAATTTCCACTACTCTGTCAGTAGGAAAACACAATCCAGAAATCGAGAAAAAAAGCGTCATATTTGTTTTCTTGAGATGATCTTTACTGACAATCAAATTATTTCCTGTTACATCTTAATAAATTTTCATCCTTGTATTCAATCCAATGTACTTATGTGTTTTCAATTCTTAGACTTTTTGATCGAAGGCCATATTTTAGGTCAACTTTATGGTCAATGGGTTGTCCCCCCTCAATTGAAGATTATTGAAGGCCTGTCCCCCCCCCCCCCCCCCCGGGTCCTGTTGAATGAATAAATTGCCACGGGTGAGAGGACAACATATGTGTGTGGAAAAATGGCGTGGTTTTAGATTTTTTCCGCTCTCTACCCAAAACTCAGCGCGCTACTATTCATTTGACAATTATTAGCGCATTGTTTTGAAGAACATAACGACCAATTCACCATATTGCTCTTTAAAATCGCGCATTGCTCGCACAAACTACAGATTAGAGTGATTCTACTTAACCCGTGAAATAGATAGTATACTGCTGCGCTATGCTATTCACTGATCCCATTGAATTCTTTTGTTTACTTGTGGCTATTTAGCATTGTTTCAAGGGTTGTGCTAATTTCCACAATTAACTGTAAGCTCTTAGCCATCGGGAAGTACAACGTATAAGAATCAACTATAAAAGTCTGGGTACGAGTCTTAGCCTGCAGGGCACCCTCCATACACGGGGTGCCAAATACAAAAAAAGACTGGGCACGAGTCTAAGAATACAAGGTGCCCTTGAATAGAAGCGGTGCCAAAACGTCCGACAATCATGGCCAAAAAAGGGTTCCAAAGGGCAACAAAAAACAGTTAAAGTTAGCCCTTCAAGTACCAATAATAATCGACATCACTTTTCTCCTAACAATTTCCATAGATAATCAAGAGAGAAGGCTATGAGAAACAATTAGAAAAAGTTCAAGTTTGGAGGTAAATCTAGGCAATTTGTATGTGTATAACTGACTTGAAAGGATTAGCAGATTGACTGAACTAATAGCTACTATGATGCTTGTAAAATTTATTAGCCACTTTATGTACATAATTATTATAATATGGGATATATTAGTTACAATAAGCATTTATAATCAAGATCTAGTCAAGAACACGATAGATTACATTTGAGACACGATCAGCACCATTTCAGCTACAACTAAACTTAAAACGTCTTTTTCTAGCGTCTTGAGAAATTCGCATCACGCAGATAATATTTCCTTCTCCCTTCACGAGAATCCAATAGATATTCTTCTCTAAAAGACACGTATGCAGAAAGATACTTTGATTTAGTTTTCAGAAACATTAATAATGCAGACGACAAAAACTGCCATAACCCTTTCTACACCAAAGTCATCAGATTACGGAGACAAACAACATGGATGAAACCTTCACGGATGAAGACAAAACTCTATGGTATGACTACTCACATGAATCCCTCCTCAGCACACTTTCACGTGGTGTAATTTGAATGGTGCAATTTTATGAAGTGAAATTTAGACTTTTCCTTGATTTAAGATGGGTGGCACCTTTGAGGAGAAAAGGATTACGGACGACCAAGAAAATAAAAACGAGGTACCGTTGCTTGTTTCGGTTTCAAACATCATGACTTTGTTCCCAGGGCCCTCTTTCTTCCTTCCTCGAGTGAGGAAGAGAAGACCCTGGGAACAGGTTGAAGAATTCCCCACCTATATCGCTAAAGTTTCTCCAAGCTAACTAACCTTTACAAACAGTGAAGCATGACTTAAGCACGTTATAATTATATGTTGTCCACTAAAAAACTCTGTCCATATTTTCACATCTGTCTTATCTGTATACACTATTTTTTATAATATTTATGCCTTATTCTCACCAAAGCTTAAGCACTATTACTAATGAAAGCACAAGTCAACGCTTACGTGGATCCTGGTTTAATTAGAATGTTTTGTTTTGTTGTGAATGAGGCTTGAGACAACACTGTACTTCAAACTAAGTTTTTTAACCATTTAACCTTGCAAGAGACATCATCTCAGGAAACTCCGCTTCCATTCCAGCACCTCGTACAAGGCGAGATGTGGATCTGACGAACTTGACGCTGTGAACCCACGACTACTGAGGGTTCAATGCTGATGGACAGCTGAAGTGACTGCTTGGCAATCCCTCCTCCGAGCTCACTGAATTCGCCAACAGAACACTGGCAAGTAAAACGTCTAGATGTTAACTCTTTCCGACCAAGCCTTACTACGTTTGTTGTACTGACAACTGACGAAAAGTGCAGAACATTTGACACCGAACACCGTCAGTCATCTTCCACTACAATATAGCCATCTCAGTCTAAGACAAGTAAAGGACTGGTGTAGTTGCACCACACCATGGGATCCTCCAAGCTATTATGGTAATCAAGGCATGCAAACACTATCGAGAAACCATTGTCTTGTCTCACCTATTTGCACAGACTTACTAATCACATTGTCAACATCATTTTCAGAATGCTGTTGTTGCCACCAGGATTAAAACTCTGATTTCTACTATCACTTTGTCTCTGTTGCACGTTTTGAGGTGTTTGGAATTTTTGCGCCATACGGGGACTCATATGCATGCCGTTAGTACGACTGACATCGGAGGAATACATGGATTCAGATGGTTGACACACAGGTACGTTTCCCTGATTTGCAAATGGAATGTTGGGATCCTCAAACAAGCTTGGAGTTAAATCATCCACATTGAAAGCCTCTACGACCTGAGGAACTTGCGGCGGGCCGTGGTTTAGGGGAACAGTACCGGATGCTCCAAACCACAATTTTGGGTCTTGGTTTGGTGTTCTTGTGGCACTCGAATTGGACAAAAAATCACAGGCAGGGTAACTTGCCGGAAATGACTGGTTGACGGGAGGGAAGAGAACTTCATTTTGGGGATGATGTAACCCGTTTTGGCCGTGATTTAGTCGTTGCTTTAAAGAATGAAACACAGTGCCTTCTTGCTGCAAGTAGTGTGAAAGGTTGCCAGGTCCGTCTTGTAGTATATCATGAAGGTCTCCGATACCTGCGTCTACATGAAGATTAAAAGCATCTAGTTCGTCTACCCCATTCACAGAAGGGTTTGACATGGACGGGTTGACAGTTGGGTCTCTGATATTCGGTATAGAAGGGTATATGAGATTGGTTGAGTCCATGTGCTGAGTGCCGCCGCCGCACGAAGAGCCATTTGGCTGGACTGGTAACCTCCCGGGTGTGTGATCATATCCACTGGTGAAAAGAGACGAATTTACTCCGTTCTGCGGTGGAAAGGGCGGGTATGGAGCCGACAAACCATCATTTTGTTGGAAGTTTAACTCAGGAAGGACCGATGAGGGGTCTCCAGGATAATCACTCCATGCGGGCGGGGGCGGGCTATCTGGAATCACACCACCGTCTACCCGAGTAATGGTTTCCAAGTGACAAGCCCTTGCAGGAGGCTGACTATTCACGCCCATTAAGAATTGTTTGATAAGATTGATTTGATCGTGTGCACTGTGCTTTGATTTTGGGTGGACATGAGGTGTACTCCCATTCCTGCGCTCTGGTTTTGAGTTGAACACCATTCCTTCACGGGATAAAATGTTGGGTTTCTCCTCCACCGGTGATCTGGACTGATTCGCTGAGCTAAACATACACGACTCTGATGTGCCTGGTGTGTGAACAAGTGACGGCGACAAGAGTTCTTTCTTCTCTGCTGTGGACACGGGTGGACTGCTGTATTCAATAATCTCGATGTCTTTCGACTCTCGCAACGCCACATCCTCAGAAGAGCCAGCAAAGCCTGCAGAAACATTTTGTGACAGTTTAGATGAAACATTACAAATGGTTTGAACCCAGGTGAAGCCTGTGTAAAGCCGACCCCTTCACTCAAAAATGATTGGAAAGAAAGAAAAAAAATCCTATAAGAAGGTGAAATATGATCGTCCTAGCGCGCGAACAAGCTGTCGGCTGAAGGGAACCGGGGTTCGTTTTGTTCCCCACCGCTGTCCCCGACAGCTTACTGGCATGCTAGATCATAGAATTTGTACGAAGGTTTCTAGTATCCCGAACCACCCTCTTAAGCTAACTTCCCTGAGACTATTATTACAAGATACAACTTAAGGAATAAATCTCCCGCAATGCCCGCCATTCACACGGACCGCTTTAAGAATACATTCTTTAATAGAATTGTCTTCAAGTATAATGTAGCTTTGTAAATAGTGTACTTTCTGTATTCGATTTTTGTATTTCTTTCTATGTATATACCAATCTTATTTAGAGACATACTTTAGCCCATTAACATTGTTATATTTAAATGTAACATAAGATATGTAATTTTATCTCTTGAACAATAAAGACACTTTATTATTTTTTTTATTTAAATCGTTCTGGCTGAGTGTACTGTTTGGCTTTGGTTGGACTGTTGTGGACATTGGCTCACGCTTCGGTAACCTCTACGGAAATCATCGAGTCAGATCCAAAGAAAAATCCGTATTTTGGAAAGCATCTTTTTTGCAAAACAAGAACTGATTACGCGAGCAAGACTTTGTGTACAAGACTTCGCGACTGGTAAGAATTTCTCTTTTAATCAGTGCCATGACAAAGAGTTTTGCGTTTTTTCTTGGGAAAGTTAATTTACAAAAGCAATAGAAAACATCTTCCCTGTATTTGCATAACCTAATAAAAACACTAGACGGGTTGGGAGAATTCTCGACAGTTATACAAACCCGAGACGTGTTTATATCAGGCTATGCAAACACGGAAAACGATTTCTATTGCCTTTATAGTCCATTGGGGGAGTACCCCACCCCAGAGAGTCAATCCTTTTCTTAGGCAACAAACCTTGGGTAGTGATACTGGTGCCATCATTTGTGGCTAATAACGGCGGAAGTGCAGAATCTGGACTGCTAGTCTGGCTGGATTTCTCCTCATCGCTCTTTGGTGATGGTAAGCCCTTTTGATTAGATTGCCATTCACGCAAGATTTCAAGTACAACTGATTGAAAGAAGGGGCCTTGCTCATCACTGAAAAATAAATAAAAAAAATGAATGGTCTGTCAGTGCATTTAAAAATTCCATTGCATTGAATACAATTAACTACTGTACAGCCCAGCCTTTCCAAATCGGCCATTTTTGAAGCAAGAGTAGTGAGTGGCTGTTGTTGAAAAGTAACAGTCAGAGAGATAGGTGAGGAGCGTACAAAGAAAGTCGTGTCTGATAGCCCGGGGTTAGTGGATTTTGCTATCGGGCTAGTGATTTTTGTTCTTCACTTGCCCGACGGGCAAGTGCTGTTCTTTGGGGAAATTCAAATTACAGAAGGATTGTAATCAATCCTGCTAATCAAAAAAGGTTTTGGGGTTAGTTGAAATGACTTGTGGGCTAGTACATGCTAGCTAAAGCTTGCCCGAATGGCAGGCTGTAGAACTGACTTTCTTTGCAACCTCGACAAGGGACCTAGACCAGTCACCTTTGATTTCCATACCCTATCCAAGACTATACAGCTTAGAAAACAACGCCCTTTACAGCAGCACAAACACGAGAGTCTCCCCCCCCCGCCCCCCGCTCCCTCCCCTCCACTAAAGATTGGTAGTGATTGGTCGACTTGCTTTGTGATGATCATTGTTGTCACGAGGGTTGGGAAACAGCTGAGATTTCATAATCGATCATCGGAAATAATAGGATGGACCCATCCAATCCATAATCGATTAATAATGGTAACAGGACTGAGTGGAGTCCAACTCGGTGCAATAATACTTATGATTAACAAAATCGGATGACCTGTAGCTGGAGTCTGATTTGTTTAATCACGAGGATGGTTAAAGACCAAAGTAGATGACACGAAGTTCTTTTACCAATTAGTCATAACTATAACAAAATTTGTCATGAATTAAGCTAATTAAAAATGAAAACAAAAAAAATATCCCAAGAGTTTTTGCTAGCAGTGAAAAAAGAAGAACCCATTCAGGTGCATGTGTGCTGGTGTATATTACTTAGGCATGATGCGTACTGCCCTATTACACTGTCCTATTAGTGCTGAAATCAGGACAGTTGACAGTCAATCAGATGTGAGAATTTTGTTATAGTTATGATTATAATGGAAAAATCTCTTTATAAGAATTCATTTTTATTCATCTTTGTGCAAGTCACAGTGCATGTAATACAAAGTTTTGAAGTTTTTTGACTGTGGACCACTGAGTTCAGAATTTTTTCTGTGCTTTCAAATTCTCTTTCTTTGTTAATTATGAGACCACTGAAAAGACAACACAATTTTGTTTCGATGATTGGCAAACCACTGTCACTGATTAGTGAGTCAGGGTGGAGGAACTCAACAAGGGATTATCAAATATCATGGGCAAAAGTTGAATTAACAATGACAACACCGATATAGCTGGCAGGAAAAGTAGCACCTCCAAGTAAACAAACTCAACTTACTTTAACAGGACATTATCAGTAGCAAGGAATTCAGGCTTGTCGTTTTTGTCATACACGATTCTAGCCTTTCCTCTGACCCACTGCCAAGCACCACGGCCATTCATGAGTCGAAATACTGTGTCACAATGCCCCTCAGCAGTAACTGGTTAGAAGAAAAAAAAGGCACAAAGAAGGTAAAATATGACCGATTAAAGTTTCATAGAATAATGGCAAACTGCAAAGTAAGATAAGGTAACTTTATTTAAATGCAGTAATTCCTTTAGGTACAGTTACATTCTAATATAAGTATAAAAATCTACCTAGCACACTTGACTAAAAACTTTGAAAAAAACTAAAATACAGTCAAACCCCATTAATATGAACACCTAGAGGGCCACAGAAAGTGTCCGTATTAAACGGGTTGAATTTAGAGAAAATGTGAGAGAGAGCTTTCTTTTCCCAGGGACAAAGCAAACTGTCCATAATAGAGGCCCTGCCAGGGTAAATTCCGACAAGCAACATGGCCCAAAAAGTAGCGACAGCGCGTAAAATGAAATTGCAACAAGAGACAACCTCCCTCGGCCAAATTGCGAAAGTGACGGTAATCAGTCTGAGCAATGGGATTCAGAAATGTTAAAGAGTACCAGCCATGCGTACTAGGAGGTTAGTGCTACAAAATCAGAGACCATACTAAACTGTTGTAGATGATCTTCCCTAGGCTAAGTGTTTACAAGAAATTATAGTGAAAGGGCAGATTACTCAAGATAAGGCATGTTGGAAATGTGCCATGAAAAAGCGGCTAAAACAAATTTATAACAAATTTATTAGTTTTCCAGCCCAGGCTTCCGATTTTTTTTTGAAAATATTCTCGTCAATGGTCTCAGATAAAGTGTATGACATTTACATCTTAGCACACACGTCTAACGGGGTGTTCTCAAAACATTCTTGAAAACATGCAAATTTCTGCCTCAATAGTCTTACAAGACAAATTCTAATAAAAAATTTTAAAAAAAAGAGTGCCAGGATTTACTGTCACTTCACCACCAAGAAGTCAACTCGATTTACTTTTTATCAGCTTTACATTAGTAAGTTATTTCAGAGTTGTTTTGTTGGTGGCGATTTGGTTGGTAACGAGTCAACTTTGACTGGTGGTGAGGTGACCAGTCACCAAGTAGAGTATTTACCTCGTTGATGCCCAAGCATCATACATTGCACATCATCAGGATGCACGAAAAAATAGCCTGTGCGACTCAAGTTGTCCTTCTCATTCATGTGCAAACACTTCTGCCCTCTGGTAACACAAAGGAGTAAACAACATTTAGAAAAGGCTCAAAGAAATGTCTGTGCCTTGATTGGTGAGAACTAGTACATTATATTTCCGTAACAAATGTGCATGACCTGCGGTATCACAGAAGTCTGGGTTTCGAATCTCGACAAGCTTGGATTTTTACAGGCTTTCGTTTTGCATCTGCATAAGTTGTGCGTTTAACTGCAATGATCTTCTTTGCATTTATTTCTTCATTCTGCAATTCTGATATATGAAATTCATATATTTGTTACAAGTCAAAATTAAATTCAAGGTAAATTTTTTTGACCTAGGTTGATCCTCAATTTCCTTTGTCTCCTAGCCCTAACTATTCACGAATACTAAGTATGTCATCAGTATAGGCAAATGCAATTCATGAATGTTTGTATTGAAAAAAGTATATTTACATATATATATATAAACTTGTTACTCACAAATTGTTTTGTAAGTAGTTTAAAACACTTCAAAAGCACTAGAGTTTCAGGCGTTCGAAAGTAAGCATTTAACCTCTGCAGGAACCCTTCATTGCAGGGGAGATTTCCTTAACTTTCCTTTCACGTGCTATTAGAGGCTTAGAGAGTTAGTGGCTGGTGGTTACCTGTTGTCTAGCTTTTTGAGTCTCAGGTCCATACCAAGCTTGCAGCTGTACACCTGTAATAGTTCCTTAGGAGTGCTGGTAAATGGATTGGCGGGGTTGACAGCAGTGCAGAGTGCAAAGAAACCATACTGTTTCATTTTGCCACTTAACAACGGTTTGAGCTTTCCAGCAAATTTAAATGACTGCAAAGCAAAAATAAAATTGAGTGACACAGTCAGCATCATCATCATAGACACATTACTAGGCCCTGGTTGTTCAAACCATGGATAGAACAATCTGCTGCATACGTCACTTTTTAGCAGATAAGTATTAGGAAAACCAATTGCCCCATCCACTGAATAAGGATTTAACTGGTGCAGCGTGTTATTCACCTTTTAAACAACTGAGGCCAGGGGTGTAGATACCAGTCACCAATACAAACATACATACATGTGAGTGATGAATAAAAAAAAAAAACAAAGCAGAGAAGGGAAGTAAGGAAAAAGCACGAGAAGTAAACTAGGGGAAATGAGTAATTTTCTGAAAAACTGCAATCGCCTGCGTAAATCTAATTCAACTCATATTTTATCCGAATTGTTATTTCAACTCTTTTGCTCTGAGTTTGGAATTTGTTGTTTCTTATATGTCTTGGCCAGAGCAAAAGAAAAACCCTTTCAGTAATCCAATTCAACTGGTTCGAATAATTTTTCAAAGAAACAACTGCGAGTATTTCCTCTCTTCTTCAACTCACAGACACACAAATGCCTTAATTGCTGCTTGTAGACCACTGACAGCTAGCTAGCTTTCCACTGAAACAATCTGAGAGGTGGATACTTATGCACGCCAGACAACCTAAGCCAACTTGAATGGATACTGAAATAATTAAAGTAACAAAACCTACCCTGTAGTAGAAGGGACTGACATGACTGGACTGTCTTCCAGCATGGCACCTGATACTGGCAAAGCAAACCTGGGGAATTGGTCGATCTGCATAACAAAGAATAAAGTCAGTACTCTATTGCTATATTAAGGAAACTTAATGATTAGACTCCTGAAACGATCGTGGAAGGAGTCTCTGTCTTGCCTGGGGGAGCACTATCATACATGCTACGTGGTAAATACGCACTTCCCAGGGTTTTCATTACGTTTTAAAGTAGACAGGTAGGATGTAAAAGTAGGCGGCTTGGCAATCGCGTGTTGAAGGCAATAAGCTTTCACTCACTCACTTTATACCCATTTTCCCTAAAAAGTCGACGTCTCAGACCCCAAAGTAGCTGGTTTTTTAGCAGGTTGCCGGCTTTTAAAAAGAGAACCTTGACTACCAACAATGATATCATAAATTTATGCCCACACAAGGTTCCAAAGAAATATTTTCAGCCACTCAACACAACAACACAAGCTGATATAAATGGTCTTGGCAATCATGCAAACTTTTCAGAATTTTCATCTGTGAGAAATTCTCCCTGGTGAGCAAAGCATCCATGATGAATATGGGTCCATACAAATACTGATTTCATTTGTGATATTTCTATTCCTCAGAACTGTAGTACATTAAAGCAAAAGATGCTTATTAAAAGAAGGAATTATTTAATAAAAACAACAGTATTGATATCAGTGAATAATTAATACTGAAAACAGCAGTTACCTTCAAATTGTTCACAGTCCAAACCATAGCCACCTTCCAACTCTACAATCCTCTAAAAAAAGCGGGTAAGGAAGATTTCACTTATTTTTCAAGTAAAAATCAGTCGAGTTATCTTCTTGAGACTTACTCTCTTACTATTAATTTTTTTCAGTTCACATGTTCACATAACATAGGCAAATAAATTGTAAAATTTGAAACCAACATAATCATGTAAGGCTTGAGTTAAATATAACACAAAGTCAGTGTCAGATGCAACAGTTTTGACAGACATTCAGTGACTTACTGCTTTTGAAGCTCGGTGAAGACACCTTTCAAATCCTCTGACATCTTCATGATGCACAAAGTTGAGAAAGTTTTGGTGCATCAAAAATGTCTACAAAAAAAAAAACTACAGGTCAATAAATATTTTATCCTTCAAACATAATAAAACAACACTCCTGCTTTTAACCCTTTAAGCCCTAAGAGTGATCAGCATCAAATTTCTCCTTGTAATATCAATGATTTGTCAAACAGAGTGGTCATGAGAAGTACGGACATGATCACACAAGATGAATTTGCTTGATATTTTATCAACTTCTCCCCACTACTTCTGTAGGAAATGAAGAGGGGCAACAAAAGAGAATTCAAATGTTGATCTTAGGGTCTAAAGGGTTAATACAAACTGTGATCAGCCTGTCCTTCTTCCCTTTTTGTTTTGGAGGTGAGGGAAAAGGGCACCTGATACATTTACCTTACGCGTCATCTGCCTGTGGTCGAGAATCTGGACTGTTGTCTGACTGGTCGAAAAACAAAAGAGCCTTTGGAGCCCCTCACAGATTGGTTACAAGCAACATATATTATCTGATTTCCCGAGCAATTAGATAGATTTGACCATTAAAGAATAATAAAATCCACCGATGGACAATGAAATATGCTTGGATGGAAGGCAGTAAAATACAAAATTCAATTACCTGTGTGTATCCCAGGTACTTAAAGACATTCTCTGATGTATAGAAAACATCCCCACTATCTGAGAGCACCAAGAAAAAGGAATCCAAGGCCTGTTAATCACAAAATTTGAGTTACTCACAAGGTTGTGAACGGTTGTTTGAACCCAACAGATTCCTTTGTTTTGTGAAATGCTTGCAAAAGAAATGCAATTTATCTTACTTTGTTACATCACCACCACTCTCCAGTAGAAATAACAAAAAGAAAGCATTTATTTGTTAATGAGAACTCTTAATTGTAAAGAAAAAGTGACATAAAACCACATCAATCATCTGAAATTCTCAGAGGACACTTTTTTTTATAAAAAATTAAAATTTCTAAAATGTCCATGACAATGTGATCTTTTACCACATCATAGTTTTATACAGCCCTAAATAAAAGAAAAGCATGCATGATTGACCGCAACTACGATTTTTTTTCACTCTATGATACAACCTTTTTTCTTTCAAAAGCTGAGTAGCATTTTTATTATTTCTCTGTATTTTTGAAGGCTGTAAATATACTTGCTTGTTTGTAAATGCTTCATTTCTGACTTCTACAATATGGGCAGTAAATTTGAACTGCAATTTGTACCAATAATAAAAAAAATAATATTAAATCAAAACTAGAACTGAAACTGTAAATAGAACCCCCTTAAATGCTAGACACATGATAAATACCAGAATCAATAAATTTATTTCACTTGTATAGAATTCATTGAAGAAATATTGGTATTAAAAACAAAATGAGAAATCAAAACAGCGTGCAAAGAAAGTGGTGTCCGATAGCCCGGGGCTAGTGGATTTTGCTATCGGGCTAGTGAATTCTGTTTTTAACTTGCCCGACGGGCAAGTGATATTTTTTTAGAAATTTAAATAACAGAAGAACTGTAATCAATCCTGCTCATCAAATTTTTTTCGGGCTAATTGAAATGACTTTTGGGCTAGTACATGCTAGCTACAGCTTGCCCGAATGGCAAGCTGTAAAACTGACTTTCTTTGCACCCTGCAAAAACAAACTCATTCAATTCATATTGACAGGCACGTAGCAATTCCCTAAGGGTTAGGATTAATTAATACAGCTTTGTATGTAGAGATATCTGTTTGCCAAAAATAACCAAAGTTACCACCCATTTTAATGCCCCTTTTATCTTAAACCCTGCCACATATTTCTACAAGCACTCCCAAAACAAACAAGTTCTTTAAATAACGATTTCACTAGTTGTTTCCGATCTTCAGGTATGCTGACAGTAAACATCTGAGATAATTAAGCCAAACAAATATTGGCTTGAAATACAATCTCTCCTGAAAGCTACATGTAAACACTACATTTGGGGCAATAAAAACCCACCACAATTCCTCTTTAACACAGGCACTGAACATTAACTAAGAATGCCAATGAACGTTTCAAAATGACATTATTAGTTACTGCTGTATATCATGAATTTGTATTTAAAACATGTCATCCACTTGTATCTAGCTCTTGACCTAGGTAACCTTCTTAAAATGTGAACACCCAGAAACTTAGAAGTAGTATTACTTGTGATACTAAGCAACCTGAGCACTACAACAAAGAAGAACAATAACTATCTTTTATGGATGGATGAATCAGCAATTAAATCCCTCTTGATAAATGTTTACTTGACTCTAAACTTCAATTTTGGAACCCTTCCGTCCTGCTTTTTGATATGCAAATAATCACTAATTTAATTATCAGAACAATTCAACTTAACAGCTTGACATACTTCATGGCTGAAAGATTATCTCCTATCTCTGTGTTAATTAACCGACCATCAGCAACTTTCTTAAACTCCATTTAAATCTAATTTTTTCAGGAAATGGTAATTAACACTTTTGTTAGGAACTGCTGATTTATACTGTCTCCAAGAGTAATGCCAGTTGATACACTAAACAACTTAAAACTGTTTTGAAACATTTCCTCACTTCAATGGTTTTGTGATACAGGCCAACAAATTGAAATGATGAACGTGACATGAATACTGATTTCTTGAACATCACGTAGCTCTCAGAAAAGCTGTACCAAGAATGTTCAAAAAATGTGTTCTGGCTAAAATTTAAAATCAATAAGAATTTGCCACAAGTTCTTTTCAGTTATCCATTGTTACAGGGTTAAAAATAAGTTTCCTTTATTACCCTTGGCAATATTCATGGCATATCAAGCAAATCCTGAAATTGATACACTTAATGAACCTAATGGAGTTAAGAACCCCAACTGAAGGGAGGCGAGTCGGTTGGATATAATTATACAAGTGAGGTCAAGGACTTCCATCTAGAAGGACTGAGAAATGCTGAACACACTAGTCTTTTTTCAACAAGACAAACCAGACTTCTGCAACACACATGTTGACGAGGGAGTGGTTCTTACTAGTTACAAGCATTTTCTACCTCATCTAATACATCATGAACTGTCCCACTACACTTGGACCTGGGGGGAGGGGGGTACACACTGAAGTTTTATACGGGGAGGCTCCACCCAAGTTCCAACCCCTTACTTTTTTATACCCCATTTTTGACAGAAAAAGTACCCTTCTAGAATACTTTCTAATGACAAATACAGTCAACTCTCGCCTTGCGGACACCCCATTATAACGGACACCCTGATAATACGGACAGCAGCAAAATCCCTCGCAAAAATAAATTGCAAACATTTGACTGAAATGGACTCCCGCTATTACAAACTCTGTGAATTTATTTTCACCCAAAAAGTAAAGGAAAGGCAAGAAGGTTAGTTATATATAAAAAAGTACATTTCTTACCTCTAGGGAAATATCACTGACATTGATGTGACAGGCTGCAAGTTTCTTGGTCATCTGGGCCACAGCAGCATCATCCACACGTCTTTTCCTCCTCTTCCCTATTCACACAGAAAAAAAAATAACTAGATATACTTTTACAAAGACTAGGTCTGGACTGTTAATACTACATCTTGGGTTGTTGATGGTGAATCAAGTTAATATCTTGTCTTCCTGCTCAGGGCTGGGCTCTAGCAGAGCCCGGTAGCCCCTGGCGCCAAACTTTTGCTCTTGGGCGACTAGAAAATCTCAGATTTTTCGTACAAATCATATGCTGGGCACCCTGGAGGTTCAGAGCACTGGGCTCCCTTCAATTTTCCTAAGAGCACAGCCTTGCTGCTAAACATAAAATTTGTAGTATTCTAAGTGGTGCATAATTTTATTTCTTTTCATAGCTCTCTTTTTGTTGTACAGTAGAGATTCCCTTATCAAATGCTGAATGTTTACTTCAGATATATTTGGCTTTTATGGCTGGTAAATTAAGGCTTAAATCTCAGAAGAACTACACAAGCGTGTGCCTAAATTATGGTAACTTAGGTCCTGACCATACCCCTTCCCAAATTCCTACTAAAAGAACTTATGCAGATGGCACCAATTAAGATAGAAAACGTTTCTTTGCATTTTGAAATAATTGTTTGCTTTTTGCAGAAGAAGCTTCCTCTTAATTGACACAGCTGCAAAATTCAACAAATCTGAGTAAATACAAGCTTCAAAAGGATTATGAAATTCATAGCAGTGTTTATATAACCGCCCAAGTTTCATTGCATTTCCATTAAGACAAATTTGACTAACTGGTAGACTGTTCTATTATTCAACTTTGTAAAACTATGAGTATTTTTGTCTAGAAAAGACTACTTTTTTGTTTGTTTTGTTTGATTTTTTTCATCTCTTAATCTCCATCCAGAGCCTTGTTGCTGCAGAAAGTAAATAATCATTTTTCAAGGACATATTCTTTACTCCAACGTTTTAGATTTAATGTATTCTTGACTGATTAATTGATAAATCAATTGAATGATTTTATGATCACTGTGTGCACCAGGGAAAACTAAATATATATTTATATATATATATGACCTGTAGTATATAATATTTCATATCTTTTTACATGAACAGCTGAATTATGGACTTCAAAAAATCAATGAAGCCAATGTATTCATTTATAATGTTGAAAAGAAGAACAAAAACATTCCTCAATAACTCAATTAATAAAAGTTTCTATAGCAGATAAAAGAATACTTAGTTCTTATGTTCTTTATAAAGCCTATGAAAACTCAAGCCTCAAGCTTAAGAGTATGAAATTACACACCAGTGTTATAGGTAAAATCTGTTCAAAGGGACAGACCATTAGAAAAGTTATGGGTGGTGGAGAATTTTTCAAACATGTGAATTTTTTTTATCATTTTCCTTGTATGAATTTTTTTTAGACCATTGATCAATATTTTTTAGGGTAACTGCATGAATTTTTTTTCATTTAATTTCCCCTTGCACAAATATTTTTTTTTGTACATCGCCCGGTCCCCCAATAAGTTTTCTAATGGTCCATCCCTAAGTTACCCTAGTTTAATTCAGAATTTAGTTTGTTTCCTAACCCTAATTATTCTTCCGAAATGAAAAAATTCTGCATTAAACTGAGAATGGACTTTACCTTTAACAATACAGGGCATTGGACAGAATGCGGAAAAAATTGAAAATTATGCGTCAGTTTAAGGCCATATTATGCAGAGAGTTGCAATTCTTTATTATAAAAGTGGTTATATTCACTGGGCATCTCAAAATGTTTATAATTATGGTATTTTATGTAATTATGTGGCTTATAAAGAACACTAGAATGCGGTAGAATGTTAATTGTCTCCTCTGAAACGATTTTTATTTCACAAACAGCCACCGTCTCCACAAGAACACACTTTTTTTCAGAACGTCTCGATTCAATTCAAGATACTTGGTTTATACAATACTGGTTGAGGCTCTCACTTATGAATAACAAGTGAAATACTTCAATACAGGCTTAACTAGCTGTAATATGTTAAACAACAGCATGAGGAGTTTTTAAAACAGCAAACAGTTAAAGTTGTTCTTTCATATGGTACAATATTTGTGCAGATTGTAATTTCCTTAAAATGCATGGTATCCAGGTCATGGCTCACTCTTATCTTCGTAGTCATGTTAACAGTCAAATGAGGATCCTTCTTAATATTCTTTCCTTTTATGACGCATTTACCCATGATATAAAGGACAAGTGATGCTTTATATACGTGTAAGCAAGGAAAACAAGAAAAGGCGTTCCAGTTTCCGCACGAAAACAGTCAACAAAGCAGGCAATGTCCTCAATAATTATCGCTTGTGATGGGCAATTGTTGTGACTACTGCACATGCACAGGAGTCACTATTGCTATCAAAAAGGTTTTCTGAAAGTAACTAAGTTACAATAGAATATACTTTGGAGCCAGTCAGCATACAAAGATAACCAATTTTCTGAATCATTCGTTGCGACGATGATAATCATAGTCATCATCAGATTAGTCGATAATCATCAACGACAAACGAAACTCATGCTCTGTTTTGATAGCTTGTGAGACAAGTTACGCATATTCAAGTTTAAAAGAAATGTTGATGTGTAACTGAATTAAAACACAGTGAAATACATCATTGCTGAAGAAGTATATCTTCACTTCTCATCTTCAAAACCACGATATTTGTATAACAGATTTCTCTGCTGCAAATCAACTCCTGTGAAAACATTGTGTAATGAAATTTTGTAGTAGACTTTCAGTCACGTGCTAGGCAACGAAGTAGTTCATAGGATCAGGCTTCACCGAGGATGTTCATATTTTAAAAGCAACTAGGGCAATGACAAGCAATTCGCAACACAGAAGGAAAGGAAACAGAATATTTTTCGAGTTTTTGTTCTTTAAAAATTATATTTCAATGTTGTTTCTGTTATTACAATTAATCAACTTCCAGGCGCGATTAAGGTTCTGATGTTCATGGCAGTCATCTCTTAGGTATTGTGAGTCTTTACACACGCAGTGTCACGAAAGATAAAAAGTCTAAGGAAAATCTTCTTCAACCGAACAAGAAAAAACTGAATAGCATGTCGGTTTTCTGCCAGACATTTATTTTACTGGGACTAGCAAATAACATGATAGTATTGAACCGTGAAAATATATAATCCAATACAAGGCTGCTTTTTTTTTTCGTTCAAAGTATTTTTTTTTCCAACATTGCTTTTAAAGGCTTTATTTATAATGTTTCCAAATGCTGAAACAACTATGCTGTTGATTTCGGGCCATCCGAACTAGGCGCTCGTTTGATCGATGAGGAAGTTGATGTCTAATTTATGTTTTGCAGAGAAAGGGGAGGTGCTCAGTGCATTGTAAAAACGACACGTTGGAGTGATGATCATTTCTATCGTCACACAAAAAAAGGGCATTGAACAACGTTGGAAAATCATTCTTCATCGTTTGACAAAGTTGCACACATTCACGTTGTAAATGCATCAGCAATCACTGAGAAACGCTGCAATGTATTTTAAAGCATTCAACTGTGCTGAACGATGCATAATAAATTAATGTATGGGGCTGTACAAATATCCACATATTAAGATATGGCATATGTAACAACATTCTACCATTTTCATTTTGCTCTTCAGCAGTAGTCACATTCACTTATCAAGCGCTTATGTTTTCAATTTTATAGGGAAAATGATCCGAATAGTGGGAGATGCAGATCCGCACCACCGCATCCTGTCAGATGCCCTGACAATAGTACTGTATTTCTTTGAATAATAATTGGGGATGATATATATATTTTTTTTTTCACCAAAAGGGGGCGAATATTCGAGGGAAGCAATTACTTTAAATATTGCCCAATGGAAGTCGTGCCCTAAATATTTTGATTAATTATCCCATTAAATAAAAAAATAATCACATCAAATAAAATGAACATGGGCTAATTCAAGTGTTCCAAATTTGGTTCCTGTGCTTTTGTAGCTATTCGATCAGTTGTAAACAATTAAATGAAAACTTGTTTTGTCAATTTTTAACTTGACAGGGAAAAGAAAGAGAAGATGGTAAATGGGTGGGGGCAATTATTCAAGGGAGGAGCTTATTTTAAATATTTAGGTGAAAGGGGGGCAATTATTTGAGGGAGGCAAGGGATGGCTCTTATTCAAGGAAATACAGTGCGGAATGTTCAAACCAGAACTGTTAACAGCTCAGTGACACTTACCAGACTGGAGATAATTTTGAGTTTGGAAAAAGCTCACAGATAACTTCAAAACTGTGAGCTTATCTAACTTTGATCTAGCTTCTTCTGGAAGAGGGAGAAGATCCCCAAGTTCTTCCAACGTAGCATTTATCTTTTCTCTGTGGCGGCGAGATGCGCTCTGAGGCGGTTTCGTCCTGTAAAAAGTTAATCAAAGAAATTTTAAAAAGGTCTAGTATCATGTAATTTTCCAAGTTTTTATATAATTATAATTAGGGTTGTCATTAAGAGCCAGGGATTGGGGATTTCCTCTGGCTATGAGGAAGTTGACTCCTGCTTCTTTTTTGGGAAAATACAAAAAAATAAAACCAAGGCTGTACACTACACTAGAACATTATGAAAATACCTTACTGATCTACAAGTTTAGATCGCATTTGAACAACACAAGAAAGGCACAATTCTATTTTTCTTTGTGTAAGAGAACCATATATAACTGCTTTTTGGAAATTTGTAACACTGTCAGACTCGAAAATGTCAGCCCAAAATTTCCAAGTGTTATTTCTATCATTTCCAAGAGTAACCAACAACAATTTCTCCGAATAATATATTCACCATCATATGGTAATGGTTATGACAATCAAAAATACTAATAAAATGGTCACCAAAGAGACAATACTTTAATCTTTTATCAAATATTCCCTCAATTAATTTGTAAAGGAAATGTGCGAAGATCAAACAGGGAATTTGACTCACCCTAAGGCAGTTTGTACCAAAATCACAGTCTGGTATAATAGCTTAATACACAGCTTCAATAAACAAACTTCTTTCCACCCTCAATAAAAATTAATCACAGTAGAGTAAAAATAATAATCTATTTGATATTTTTTTCTGAAACTCATTTTTAATAATAAAATACAGAGGAAATTAATGTTTTGTGAAAAAAAAACCCTTATTTGCATCCTTAATTTCTCCTTTTAAAATCACTTTGTTTGAGTAAAGTAATATCAAACCTTTTTACACACTTTTTCATCAAAATATCAATCACCTTGAAGTTTGTCAAAAACAATCCCCTGCACTGCTCTCATGTTTGATATATTACACACAGTATCTAAGAAGTATCTATCACCTTTCAAACTCTGTTATGGTCATATGCTCTGAATTACCTCTCCTGTCTAATCCAAAAATAACAGTGCAGAAGAATTGAACTAAACGTACGGTTTGGGAGCCGGTAATTAATATTCCCTTAATTGTAACTTGTAAGTTACAGAAATACGGGCACTTGCTCCCTCACCCAAGCAAACAATAATTAAGATGGTCACATACAAAATTGTCAAAAAACAGACAAGTCATTTACTAAAAATATTCTGGAAAAGAGAGTAAAACATCAATATCAGGTAACAGATACACTCCTTTGAAGCAAGGGTTACATGCAAATCCATCAAGATTGTTCCACATTCAATAAGTTGTCAAAATATAGACAAAGCAAATAAGGCTACAGAGGTAATTGAATGATCCATAATCCAAGTCTGTGTTGCAAGTTGCTCCTGTCCATTGGGAGGCCAGCCAATAGATATCAAGATCAACAAGTTCATGAAGTTATCAAAATATAAACCACACAGACTAACAGGGCAAAGAATAGATATTATCAAAACAACATAAATAATAGGAACTTTCCAGGCACATTAGGAGCGATCACTTTAATTAGCCATGTATAAAAACAGGTATTTTGGGTAATACCAGCTTGAAGGCAGAAATCAGATCACTGTGAAGATTTAACCCCTAAGTCACAAGAGTGACCAAGGGCAAATTTCTCCTGATAATATCATGACATAATCAAGATAACAGGTTTCATGCAAATTATTAAAATGAAATTAGGAGGGCTTGCAGTCCAATGGTCAGAAGGATGGTAGCTGAAATCTATGTGCAACTTCAGTAAAGCCGACAGTTTCATCAAGGGCGTGGTATTATGCACATTTTGGAAAGACAGCCCTGGTCGTTTCTGATCTACAATAGGTCTGTCCAACATCTCTTTCTCTTCAACCAGACCTTTGCCTTTTAAGTGTTACCGTTGTTTTCTGTTGGTAATACAAATCATGTTTTACTAGTGCTGCTTGCTGCATTAATTTCCCACAGTTGGATCACTGTCAAACTTACTCTTGGTTACACACGTGAACTTATCCCTCAAGTTAGTCTAAACTGAGTCAAATCATTTCCGGCAACTTTCAATAACAGGAGCATTAATTCCCACAGATATGAACAGCTTTCATTAGAATGGTGACATAACTATTGTGGTTACTGACCCAAATGTAAAATCCATAATTTCTATAGGACATGTGGTTCAGTCACATGTTCCACTTTTCTGCCGCACCAATACCCCTTTTTCCTAAAAACTAATCCCTCACCCTTTTATACAAATTATAAATCTCTTTTGTATCTTCTTACTGACCATTTGTTTGGTTCTCTGTCTAATGATTTTATTCCATTAATAGTCTAAACACTAAATGGGAGGAGACATGAAATACTGATAAAGTTGAAAATCCTGCATATAATAGGAATGTCACTAATGGAAGCAGTGGATGCAAAAAACTGAAAAAATCATTTAAAGACCTGACACTTTTCTCCAGGATCTTTTCATGGCACAGCTGTATTTTTGGTCAGAAGAATTCTTGCTTTGCATAAATCTAATTAGAAACTTAATACATCCACATAGTTAGAAAGATTATCAGGGAATTGTTCCCAGATTTGAAGACATCATGACCAAGGAACAGCTCAAATTTCAAACACACAAGCTTTCCACTACACTGATCATACATGTTTCAGAATCAAGCATCTTATTCGGTTACTTAAATGTACAGTGCAATGATCACTCATCAGTTATTTATGTGTCAACAACCTTTTCTATTCGTCTGGTTGAATGCACCCAGAGGCTTTCAAGGCACTACAAACTTTGAGACATTAGAAGGGCTAAATGAGCATTGTTATTCTTTCAAACTAAGACGCTTTGCACCTCCCCAGTTTAAATGGAAAAATTTAAATCTGACACCTACTTTGTTGAGGACTATTTGTACATGCTATGAATCTCACAATCCAAATAAGTTTTAAGACCAAAAAATAATATTATTCTACTTAACTGAAACCTAACAGAATCACCTAAATGTACTCTACTGAACCAAATTACTTGAAATAAACGACAGGACAGGGGATGAACGAACGCCCAAACCCCAAATTAATCCTATTCATTGTAGCAGTGAATAACGATTAAAATCCTCAAAAGAAAAATAATTTTACAAAGAAGACAGAAAAGAGTCCAATTTACACCCGAACATCCTAAAAAGCACATCACGAAAACTAGACGGAAAAATGGACAAAAACATTTCAGCTGAAATCTATATTGATCAAAATTTTGCCGCCAGGGAGGTGTTAATTCTTAGAGGAAACATTAGTGTAAATGCGGTCACACGTACTACCTATGGAACCTTTCAAAAAAGCTAGGAAAGATCAATGAAAATTCAGAAATGATGAAGTTAGTGTTATCATTAATTTTCTATGCCCATTTACGCGAAAGCAAGACACAAATCGTGCGTGCAACAGATAACAGTCGTAAAACAAACCCACAGTCAGACACAAGTAAATTGGCTTTTTTACACCTAATTCTTTACCTTTTTCGCTAACACTTTTCACCGAAAGATTACAATATACAAGTTAGTCACCCTTTAACAAAGGGCATAATAGTTTACCTAGCCTATAAATTATACATAGTGAAGTTCGTCTTCACAATGCACGCTACACCTAAAAAAGTAAGGAGATCGCGCATTTCTACTCAATCACACAAAACAAATCACCAGAGCGTATTAAATATTTGACAGCCAAAAGAAACTTCCACCATTCAACGTTTGCCCGACTAAAATACGAACAACTTCGTCAGCTGCCAGAAATGACGACTAGCCCTAGCAGAAAGTTCTCATATTCAGGAAAGTTCATATTCTCGGGCGGACATCTATAAATACACGTACGCAGGAAATATAGCAGGAGTTCGATAGCGCGCTGCCGTTCCATTGAAAAGTTCCAAGGACTTTAGGAAGTGCTTGCTGGATTTAAACTGGTCTAGCACGACCTTAAACGCTTCTTGAATAATGAATACTATAATTGCGTGCTTGAGAAAGCAGTGTGAACTTAAATTACTGAAGTGACACCTTAACGTTATTTATAGTTTGAGGAAAACGGAATTAGCGCTTAAACTTACCTATCTTGCTCGTCGCTATGTTCATTTAAAAGTTTCCGTTTTCTGTCTTTGCCAGAAGCGTTAAAACCACCATTGGCTTTCATTTTTCTCGTACAGTATGTCTTCGAAAACTTATGGAACTAGCACAACCACTCTCCGTAAACAAGCAACTTCGTTCATTCACTGACAGAATTCACCATGTCGCCATGTTTCCTAAGCGTGTCGAAAACAACAAAACGAAGTTCATAACCCGCCCTAAGTTGGCAAACACAAGAATCAAATCGCCCCCAAACAAAAGTTATCAGCATAAGTCGTCTGTATTTACCTGAGAGACCCAAGATATTTTACCAAAAAGACTTCGACAGAGCGAACAACCTCGCGTCGAGTCGCGCCGGCCTTTGGAACTTAGGAAACCCCACCGAGCTACAGCTTACCTCGAGTTGCCGAGTGCGTGATACCCGTGTATTGATAGCGCGGCCGTATAGACTGGGGCTGGTAATTACTAAGACAATAGCGATATTGTTTATCAAATGTTGGAATTTTCTGGCCATAAAAAGATACAAGAGGCGTTATTAATTTCAAACAAAATAACAAAAAGGGTGTGAATAGGGTTCAACGCGCAAAAAGAAAATAAACACCTGAACGGAAAACGTTTCTATTTTTGTTTTATTGCTTTATTTTTTTTACTCACATTTCACGCTTTGGGTGTATGCCCCCGCCTCTGAACATTTATCCAAATTGAAACTTTCCCTCGACGACAATTGTAAATGCTTTTTATGCTCATTATAAATTACAAATGTGTCAATAATTTTTAATTGATACGTGTATTTTATATTTTTATATGTAAAAAATAATTATTCTGGCAGTTTGTAAATATTTCAAATTTTTCCTTTTAATATCATGGTTCTTTTGTATTTTTTCGACCGATTTTTTTTTTTTTTTTTTTTTTCATGAGAGTAACGAGTTCCGGTTTCTGTGAGTTGGGATCCTGTGCTCCTCGTGGTATGTGTCTATGTCTGTGTCTGTCTCTGGACTACTGCTGACAACCAGCGGTTTCGCTCCGTATTGAGTCAGCAGTTAGCTCTCTCATTAGCACAGTTTTCTTGTTGTGATGGTGATGGTGGTTCCCCTCTCTTTTGACTGCAAACAGTCTCTTATTTTTCTTTGTAATCCCAGTCCCTTACTGTAACGTAACTAGCTCGAAAGCAACTGGCGTTATTTTTTTAGATCTATCAAAAGTATTTGACAGCGTGCCCCACGAGCGTCTACTGCATAAGCTCAACCGACACGGTGTTGCTATGGTTTAGAAACTTTCTAAAAAATAGACAACAGAGAGTCACTATACGTGAAACGTTCTCGAATTGGTCCCCAGTGACATCTGGTGTTCCCAAGGGAACAATCCTCGGGTCCACCTTGTTCTTAGTCTACGTAAACGACATACCAAATGTTGTTACTTCTTCTATTAAAATGTAAGCCTGTTTCAGGCTCCGCGATGGTTGGGTCCGCTGAGTTTAGAAAGCGCAAACACGAAATTTTTTTCCTCAGAAATGCGTAGTGATGAGAATTATGCATAAGCAAGACCGAAAGTAAACATCCTTATCACCTGTCAAATACAGAATTAAAATCAGTTATTAAACTCATGCAAGGACCTAGGTGTTTATGTGTCAAGAAACTTATCCTGATCGAACCACGTGGATGCAATTGTAAATAAAACAAACAAAGTGGTGGGCCTAATAAAGCGTACAGTTGGTAGCAAGAACAAGGAAATTTTCTCTATGCTCTATTAGTCCTTTGTTAGACCAATCCTAGAATACGCATGCCCTGCATGGTCGCCCTATTTAGTTAAAGATAAGTTGGCAATCGAAAAAGTGCAACGAAGAGCATCGAGAGTCGCTCTCGGTTAAAAACTACGCGAGATGTCATATGAAGAACGATGTATGTATTGCTAAACTGGAACACAGTTCAGCATCGAAGAGAATACCTTTAAAGAAGGCTTAAAAAGATGGATGAAGATTTACTGACATAGTAGCTCATATTTTAATTGTATATATTTTCATTTTAAACATCATTCTTACTATACCATTATGTACCTGCACGAATTATTTTTAGGCGCGTTTTTTATAATTGTTTAATATTTTTAAAGTTCAGTTAGGGGACCTTTTATAGGGATAACCTCGAGGTCCACCTTTTCAAATACGTATCATGTACAGGGGCTGATCTAGGGGGAGAGTGCAGGGGTTGCGCACCCCCCCCCCCAAGAGATGAACTGCGGTTTTCGAATACAACTGGTATTCTGCAAAAAAACTATGTGGTTTATTGGTGTTGAAGTAGAGCAAGAGACGAGTGCACTCCCTCCTAAAAAAAATCCTGGATCCGCCCCTGACTGTATCATGTTTATGTGCATATATGTATTGAATAAAGTATTATTATTAGTAGTAGTAGTATTAGTATTAGTATTATTATTATTATTATTATTATTATTATTATTAACGTCTTGGTTTGCATTTGCACTGGCTGAGATATAAAGAACCAGACGGATTTTAAGAGAAAAGGGGGACTGCTAGTAGTCTAGACAGTCTAACCCCTGTTTCTTTTTTGATGTTATCTCCACAACGAGCATACACCAGGACATTGTTACATCAAGCGAACTAAAAAATTCTGAGTATGAATTGCCCGGCTCATTCCCTCCACTTAATCGAAAGTACCTTTGGTCAGACCAACGCTGAAAAATGCTGAAAACGAAACTTCAGAAAGATTTGTTGAAAAGTGCAATCAATTTGTAATGCTTCGTACTACTAAGTATTCCCGGCCCAAGGGCCCCTTGCCCACCCCACTCACGGGGCAAAGCAGATAAGATTTGTGGGTAAAATTCAAAATGGCCGACAAAAAGCAAGTTGGAATTATTTTTCAACCAGCCCGTATCTTCGTACAATCACTTTTCTAGCTCCTAAGGCCCAATTCGATTTACTATTCGAATACCTTATGGAAGGGCGATTTGTTGTAAAGGAAGGTTGGGCTGTGAAGGAAAGTGGACAAGCAGTGCTTGGTCAGACTAACTGGAGAAAGCGATGGTGTCAACTTGTAAGAGGTTCACAGGGAACATTCTGGTCTTACTACAGGTATCATAGACTACATAATAAGCTTTGCTGCAAACAAGTATTAATATTTAACGAATCTTGAAAGTTTATAGCAATTACCTCGAAGACAACGTTATTAATATTCATGTCAACGTGATAAGCGCGTGAGAGAACCGGCTGCATGCGAGGCTCGGCCATCCTATTTAGTTAGCTAACAGTTAGCTTACCTTTAGCGGACTTTGGACCACTGGCGCTGCTCTCCTACTGTCTTTGTTATTGTAAAGCTTTTGTTCCATTATTCATGGTTTGCATTGAAAATAATATTCATGCTGGCAGGTATTTTTGTCAAAGAGCTTGTTTTTAAATTTAAAAGCTTATTTTAAACACTAAACAAATTTTGCCCCTGCAGGTTTTGCCCGCCGAGGAGGTCTGAGAAAGCACCCTTTTATTCTCCACATATAGTTTTAATTACTCTAATTCAGGGATAGTCTGCTACACAGCCGTTTTTAGAGAGGTCACGCAATGCTCCTCCCCACTAACGCCTGCTGAAAACCGAACTACATTCCTTTCCTGTGATAAGCCAATTATAATTCAGCTCCCATTTTCTGGAAGGTGTTCGCGCCACGTTTGCGGTACTGTGACTCCTCCAATCACAGATTTGCTTTTGTCGGTGCCCCATGGGTGAATGACAGAGTTATCAAAATCGTCGCGCGGAAACAAGCAAGAAAACAAGTTTAGTCTTCACAGAACACAATGAGCGCATCCGGCACATTCTTCATTACATATCAGTGCATATGCACGTTAAATGAAGAAGCAACCGATCCTGGTAAAAGTCTTCTAGGCCTATCTAACCTTTTTTTCACTTGGAACTTTCTTGACCGCTTAAAACAAACTTTTTTGCAAATTAACCTTTTCGTTGGTTGAAAACACAGAGCCCGTCTAAATTCAGCGACGATTGATTGATTTGTCAAAAACTGAGAAGCGTGCTCGCTTCCTAGCGCCCTGCGGCTCACGTATTGTCAAATCTCTCATACATGATTGGCTTGTTCGTTAGACCACAAACGCAAAGGGAAAGGAATGTAGTTCGGTTTTTAGCAGCCGTTTGTGGGGAGGAGCGTTGCATGACGACACTAAAAACGGCTGTGTAGCAGATTCATGGACAGACCATTAGAAAACTAATGTGGGGGGAGGGAGTACAAAAAAACTACATTAGAACCCTGGTAACCCACACTCTGAAGGGAAATGAAGTGGGATTTAGCAAGGGTTCAAGTTGACGGGGTCAATTGCAAAATTCAATGCGCCATATTAAAAATTCGTAGTTTCTAATTTTTCAGCACTTTAGGGTATAGTGAAGTGCAAATTTAACGTATTTTATCAGAAACAGTAACATGATTTTAATATAGGCATTTTTCATGAGGAAATGTGATCTGTTTGTCGGACCAATTAAAATCAAATAATTTGATGTAGTGTTGACCAGTGTTACTTCAAGTGTTGTTACTGATTATACAAAAAACTAATGGGATGGCATCCGAGTGGAGTCACAAGAACCAGAATTCGAGCTATCAGGGTAAATTTCAGTGAATTTATGACTTAGGGAAATGAAACTTAGTTCAAGTTAGTGGGGAATTCGAGTTAACCGAGTTTTCGAATTAACCATAAGGGAAATTAAAATAAGATGAAAAAAAAATTCATGCCTGCATGCCAAGTAACCCATAAAAAAACATCATGCACTGGCCTAAAAATGCAAGACAGATGTTAACTTAAAAAAATTCATGTGGCTCAAAATTTCTTCTTCTGCGTCATGAAGCTAGGAGAGATACCTTTATTTGCGGGCTAAGTAAAAATTTACAAAGTAGTTTAAGATAACATTAAAATGGTCTTACAGTCCACCTTGGAGACAGAGAACTTCATATTCTAGAAAAAGGTTTTTTTAAAAGAAAAGACTTTGCCAAGAGTGATTTGCACTCACAATGGATGTACAGATGATAACAAATGCATCATTCCCCTACTATCGGTTAGCAAATTCATAAAAGTTTTTCTGTTTTGATTATGTTGTAAAACCACTAACTGGTAAATGTTTCTTCTATTTTAGAAAAATGGATGATATTGCTCTTGATCAGCCTGCTGGAAGAATAGAGTTGGATTCAACTTGTAAGAGTTTGTGGATATTAGGAATAAAAAATTAACAGTTTCAAGTCTTGACATCTGAATACAGTTGGACCTTCCACAACTGACCACCCAAAACATTAAATTTAGTGGTCAGGCATGGGAGGTATTTGCCTAAAAGAGTCAAACCACACGGGATCTTTGAAATAGACCTTAAAACTCTATGGGACTATAGCAAATTCAACTTCGTCATATAAGTGTACGGGAACTTACACTATGAACCATGCGATGGATTCAGCAAATGGCAAACTAGACCTATCCATATATTATGATGAATTAGGCAGCCCTAAAAATCCTAAGAGGAAAGATTTTTATGAAATATTGCAACACTGGACTCAAATTTTGAAACAAAACAATATAGAGTATATCTTGGCGTATGGTAGTCTCCTAGGAGCGATGCGAGATGGTGATGTCATTCCCTATGATTCAGACATCGATGTTCTCGTCGATCACAAGTATTTTTCGATCCTTAAAAGGCTTTCAGTAAAGACGTATACTTTTGAAGGAGAATTTGCTGCATGCAATTTTTAACTTACGATATGTTAAGCTCCTTGTTGTCACTAAATGTTCTTTGTATACTTTGAGTAGCCTAGTACATACAGGGAATATCGAGCGTATCAGACCAGTGGTTGCTTACAAGAGGTTAAAAACAATTGAATATATTTTTAAAGAAATGTTTCTCCAAAAAGTGGTTGTGGTTGCTTACAAGAGGTCTTAGTTTCTGAGATGTTCAATTAAAATCCATGATAGTAATATGAGTGGGAAAATTTTGGTGTTTTGGGTAGGTGGTTGCTTTCTAGAAGTGGTCACACATGGAGGTTCGACTGTAGCTTTGAATGAAGTCTGTTTTGATTTAAACAGGAAATTTATCTCTGTAGTGGCTGCCAACAGACATAATTATTATGGCTCTTGGGAGACAATGAATTACAAATTTTATTCACTGAATGGGTTTTATTTGAATGAACTTCCCAAGAATTTGTCCACAGACTACTGGAAAAACCATATTACATGTTTGCATTTATTAACTCTGGGAAGAAAAGGGATAAACTCAAACAAGCAATAGAATAGTGAAGGGCTTGGAACTTTTTCTCGGCTGATTTTGACATGATGACCTGACTTATTGAGTTGGTGGATACTATGGTCAAGATTTGTTTATGTTTGTCGTTTTCTTTTTTTGTTTTCAGTTCTATGTAAAATTATCTTTCCCTTTTCCTCAGCCCTTGAAATGCTGCAATTTTATTAGTGAGTTGAAAATTGTTGCTTTTATCTGGAAAACAACAACTCATCGTTTAAAGCTTAGTCTTTATTTTTTTCCAGATGCAGCACGTGAGCTTGAAGAAGGAGAGAGGAAAAAGAAGCCAAACTGCTTTGCTCTAGGACCAGTGTTTGACAACTTTGCTAGGAGAACGTACTACATTAGCTGTGGTGAGTTATTAACAAAATTAAACTATAATGTTGACCAACTATTGCCCAATAATTGTTAAGTGAATACATTACATTTCAATGTATGCAGGGATTTGTAAAAGGCAGGAAAACACAAGCATTTAAGTCATGAACTTGTAAGAACTTGAAACTTGCTATACATATCACCCCTAGTAAAAGTTTATTTTCAAGGAAAAAAATGGATTGTATTAATCCTTGTAAGTTACTAAATGACAAACATTTAGGGAAGGTGTTGTCAATGCTGTCATTTAAACCCATCAACAATAGATGGGTGTGGAGAAGGTGCTTGATGAAACAGAAGGGGGATGCAAGCGATCCACCGACCAGGCACAGTCACACTGAGAACCTTAGTGGAAATAGGTGCAGGTACTTACCAAAAATAGCATCTAGAGAGGAGGGAGGGTTGGGGCAAAAAACAACTATAACTACTGCATGCAAAAGTAACGTCAGCAAAATGATTGATTCCTGCAAAAGCGCTGTAAAATCACTAAGGCCCTGCTAAACCCCAAGACTGCCCCACATACAATTGGTGGTGGAGATCTGCTGGCCAGCATTGTCTCATGTTTAACCACACCTTAATTACATTTAGCCACATTAAACTTAAACCTGTCATTGGCCCTTCTACTCTTGACTAGTAAGCTGGATTCTCAAGCCCTGAAGATGTCTCTGAGATTTCTCTCCTTTTTAACTAAAACCAGTGAGAATGGGGTCAGCCTCCTATCAGTGTTGTATGTGTTTGGAGGCCAATTGTGACATAATTTTTAAGGAAAAACTAAGATTTCCTAGTGCCCAAGAGCAAAAGTAAAGTGCTAGGGTCATCAGCTGCTGCTAGAGCACAGCCCTGCTAAAAAGTAGGTTCTCCTCGTGCATCCAATTCAATACAGACACCTTAAAATTTCAAATTAGGTCTGACTGATCTCTTTATTTCTATAGATTGTAATTTCTGAAATATATTCTGTTAAGCATAAAGCTACTGTAGTGTTGGCATAGCCTGACAGCATTATAATAGTATTTCAGCTGGCATATTGTCTATTTTCCAGAAACTATGGATGAGAAACTTAGCTGGATGGAAGTGTTAAATGCTTCAACAGAATCTCAAACAGGGAATCAAGATAAATTTGAAAGGGGGAGAAAAAGTGTCAGACAGAGGCTAAACAGAAGAGTGAGTATGTGACCTCCTTATAAACCATATTACAAGGGACCTTAAGCAATAACGTTAATGACATAAACAACAAATAAATGTCCAAATGCAATCTGTTTAGTGAGCAAAACAGCATCTTGGTATTGACATAATGAAGAGATCGAAGTTTGAATTGATCAAGTCTGACATGTCGTATTTTGGTTGACTCATGAATTAAGATTGAGTCGACCACATGAGAATTTCAACTGTGGGGCACTTCATTTCAAATGTCGGAACTTCCCATGTGCCGAACCAAATGCATAAATGTCTGATTCAACCACTGAACTTGTATCATTTTAATCAACCTAAATATAAAGTATTAAAGGAGCTGTGTCACGAAATTCAGCCAAATTAGGAAATTACAAAATGCCCATTAAATTAAGAGAAACATAAAAATAATTGCTTAAAACTTTAACGGACAGTTAAAATAACATAACAGAAACAACAGATGCGACAGATGGGCAAAACTGAAGAAGACTGAAACGGATTGAAATCAGGGTTTTTGAAAATTAACTGTTCAGCCTAACAGTTTTTCAAAGTTGATCCCTGCTGCTTGCAACTTCAAAAATAGTTCTCAGGAGACATATTTATTTGTCTTGGATCTCTGATTTTGTCATTTACATGTAATTTCTTTGCTTACTTTAGGTTCCATAGCAATTGAGGGCAAGTAATGTGCAAAATTAAACAAAATGAACTGGACTGCACAGCCCCTTTAAGTTCAGTACATGAAAAAATCGATGTTTGAACTGGGCCCAAGACTGTCTGTTAATTGTCAACAAGAAGCAAGTTCTTCTGAGTGGAGTTATTTTCATTCACATCCTAAGAACATTTTGATATATATATATATATATTCATATTCAATTGCTTAACTTAAAAATTTCATGTTGGGGCTGGAATCAGTGCTCAGCCATTTTGCCAGTCTGCTGACCTCAACAAGCATGTAGCTGAATTTTACTTATGGTCAAATGTTGATAAAATTATTATTTTTTTGTGTGTGTGTGCTATTCAGTCCAGAGGTGGAAACAAAAAGGAAGTTGATGGGCCACAGGAAAGCATATCATTAGATCCCCTGCAAAGAATGGAAGTAAGTTTGGATTACATTGGCCTTGTTAAATTTCCTGCACATTTTTTAAAGAATCAGTACACAGACCATTTCACGTGGCAGTTAAAACCCACAGAACTGGTTTATTGTCAAAAAAATAGATTTTTTACGACAAAGATAATAACTGTGCTTCTATTAGAATTTGAATCCATTACAAACTATGAGCCACATAGCTATGGAGAAAATACTTGTTTTATTAAGAATATTAATGAAAATATAACAATATTATTTTCCACATCAGCCTATTTAACAAAATTAGATTCCATTTTTTTTACTTTGTTTAGTAAATATTAGCGAGTTTAAGATGCCACAATGGCGACGGTGGCAAAAACGTCACTTAAAATGTGACTGCATTCTATGAAACTTCAGTGGGATTATCCCAACTCCCTCACTTTGTCCAATGTAGGCAAACTTTCCTGGAGTTAATTCTTAAGAAAGATATTCAAGTTTAAAGAGAGAAAGAGGAATTCGTCGTCATACGTTTACGTTGTCAATAAAACGTGAAATTGTTGTAGTCGTGCAGTGACGGCCAAGAATTGTACAAAAAAGCATGATGCACATGCAAGTTGTTGTTTTGCTTCCCTGAACCTATTACTTTTTTCATGTTCTCATTTTCGTCGTCGTAGTGACATCTTAAACTCCCCATTGTTATAGATCACAGATGACGTCAAAATGTGATAAAAACAAACAAATGGGAAATGAGACTCGGGCTCAATGGTGTGCAGGATAACCCATACCCGGTCATACCCAAGAAAGCCCACCTGGTTAGCTCATTTGGAACAGTGCTGGCCTGCCAAGTGGGTGGGTACATAGACCCTGGTTGTGTGACACCTACGTAGCTCTCTCAGTGGGGAAGGGAACTTTTACAGACCTTTACTAATTGGCTTCATTCTTTTTCAGATACCCTGCCAAGAATTGGCAGAGCTAATAACTAACTTGATTATTATTAGAAAGAAGATAAAAGAGAGTGCTCATTTTTATTTTATGACATAAAGGAGACTTTGTCAAGTTCTGGCCACACAGACTTGTCTTTGTTTAATTGCAGCAGTGGGAAAAGCTTTGCCAAATCATCAATTGCCAAGAATGGAAGAAAGCCGACAGCAAGAATGGAGTAACAGTATCACGACTTAGCTTTGCACGTAATCAAAAGGCTGCTGTTAAGGTGATTACAGTCAAGCAGAGGCAGTTTAGTAGCATTTTCACTGAAGAAGGCCATTTGTTTCATGGCCGTCTTTCAGAGCTCAAAAAAAATTTGAATTTCAGCTTGTTTTTTGGGCAAGTAGTTCTCAAATGTTGCTTGCCCAGGGTCACTTCTTGCTCATCTAAACCTGCCAAGACCCTTGCTTATTGGGCAAGTAAGCTTTACAAATTACTTGCCCCGCAAGAAAATCTACTTGTACCAGACTACTGGATGGGAATTTTTTGATCCTTGATCTTGATAACCATTGAAAAGGCTTGTTATTAATGTCACATATGCATGCATTGTCTAACTGTTATATGACATTTAAACTCAGAGGTGACTCGAGCAAGCTGTAGAGCNGGGTCACTTCTTGCTCATCTAAACCTGCCAAGACCCTTGCTTATTGGGCAAGTAAGCTTTACAAATTACTTGCCCCGCAAGAAAATCTACTTGTACCAGACTACTGGATGGGAATTTTTTGATCCTTGATCTTGATAACCATTGAAAAGGCTTGTTATTAATGTCACATATGCATGCATTGTCTAACTGTTATATGACATTTAAACTCAGAGGTGACTCGAGCAAGCTGTAGAGCTTAGCAAAAACAAACAAAGAAGCAAAAGGTAAGGCGGTAACAAAGCCGGGACCATATGGTGGTGTTTCAAACTCTTGAAATATTTCAGTGTAATATGGAAATTTGTAATTTTGCGCTCCCCATTTGCCACACTGGTATAAAATTTGTGTGGCATTATTAAATTTTAACAATGCAGAAATGCTGCAGTGCTGTACTCTAGAATGAACCCTGCTTTGAAATGTCTGTTGTTGTTGTTTTTTAAAAGGTTGAAGGAGTAGTGCCAGTTCCTCCAGATGTATTGTATGACTATCTCTGCCAAGCAATGAACAAAGGAGGCAAGGTAAGTTGATTTAGATATAAAACCATAGTTAATAGACTGGAATGGTTATGAAGCCCGTCAGATGCCTTTGATATACAGTCATACCTCCACTCACGGCCCCCTCTCCACAAAAGCAACCTCTCTACAACTGCCGCTTTTTTGGGCAGACAGTCCATACATTGACTCTTGCTTAAACCTGTTTACAACAGTCGCCTCTCTACAACGGCCACTTTATTCTGTCCCCAAGGTGGCCGTTTTGGAGAGGTTCAACTGTATGTTTTTGTGGACTTGACAATGGTCCAGTTTCAAATTTAAAATTACCGCTGAATACAAACATTAATGACACATTTATACAGGGTTAGCCTTGACGTCACCAGAAATTCTAGCAAGTGAGTGTTTGAAATTTGAATATACACAACAGACAGAGTAATAAACCTGTATTTTTCTCATTGGAATTTGTGAATAGATTACTTCAGATGAAGGCTAAGCCTGTAAAAATGCATCTCGAAACTGGACTATTCACAACATTCAATAGCATTCCTATCACTGATTATATTGACCAATAAAAACATCCTGTTGATGTTAATAGAATTTATTCAATCACAATTTGTGAAAAAAAAACAAAGGATTGTAAATTGTCAGGGAGCTACAACATAAACTGCGGCATTGTTGTTTTCATCTTTGATAACCAGTTTTCATACAACACCCTTCTCTAACACAGAAAACTTTCTATGTCATCTGTTCTCCACATTTTAGGCTTTTCATTGTCACTTGTATGTTTGTATTTTATTATAATGGTTTTCTTTGGAACATATTCTATTTCAGCTAGACCAGCCTTTTCGTGGCGAAAAAGTCTTACAAAAAATTGATGGTAACTCGATTTCTGAATTTTTTATCCGTTTGTTTTGTTTGTTTGAAAGCAGGTGTCAGCTTTGTAACAGTTACAATTATAACCATTACAAAATCTAATGAATTTGATTTTTCATTTATAAGGGTAAAGATAATTTAAGTTGTAATTTTCAATAACTTTTGTAAATTGGAATTTTGGTACTTTTTTTCTAGTTTTCTACAATTTTTGTAATTTTTCCTTTGCTTGTAAACATGAAATAAGGTGTTGCTGTAAAATAAAAATAAAAAAAATTTAATGAGTAATAATAACATGACATTTATTACATTTATATCTTGGAGATCAAGGTTTTGGTCTGGCTAATAATTTACTTTGGTGTATCTGTGTTCATTGTACATGTTCCTGTTCTCTGTCATTAACAATAATGTTACCTTTTTAAATTGTAGATTCTATTCCACATTCTTGGATTGTGTATAACAGATATACTCTTCCTTTGCCCAGTGCGTCCCCAAGGGATGTTTGTTTGCAGAGAATGTGGATGCCATCATATTTGACCAGAAATGGAACATCAGGTACCTATGCTAGATTTTTAAAGAAAATGGCTTGAACATACTGGTACTATCAAACTTTTCGTATTAGAGAGATGAAAATGTTCGTTATGTTGAAAGCATACCACAAAAAATAACTGGGAATCCTGGCTAGCAGTTCTGTTTGACCTGTGTACCATGTGCCAACCCTCCAAGTTGCGACCATTTTGGTGGCCATGGCGCCTAAAATTTTGGAGCTGGCGACTTGATTTGTAAAAAATTCTCCCTAAGCCAAAAGAGTTGGTGGCCAAATGGCGACCGAGCAAAAACTTTAACTTGGAGGGTTGTGTGCTAGTCAGTCCCTTTGTCACTGAGCTCTGGAGAGATGCATGGTAAGCTAAAGCATTTGAAAATAGTTTCTGCTTGTTTTCCAATGCATCGCAGGCAGTCAAAGCTTATGCCTGTCTTATCCTGGCAGGAGCTTGAGTTGCTTGCTCATATTTTTTTTGTCAAAAAAGACGCTTGACACAAAGCATTAGTTACCAGTAAAAAAACCTTCTGTCAACAGTTTAACATTGTCAGTAATTGTGAGTTAAACAGTAAATATTATTATAGTCTATGTGAATTACATGTATTGGTTTTCCTAATACAAAAAATCTATTTTAGGATTGGTGTTATGGTCTACAAATCATTCACAGACACCACAAGAGAAGGTATGTGTATCAGAAGGACAAAACTCCTTTTTATGTAATTTTATTGTAAAACATGCTGAAATTTATTCCAAAAACGACTGTCCATTTTTTCTCTTTTAGAGTCACTGGCGACCCAAGCTCAATATGAGAGTTTAATCATTAATACATGTGGTTTCATTTTGCGTAATCCTTTAAATGGCCGTGAACATAAAGGATTTGTATGGGAATTCACGTAAATGANATGTAATTTTATTGTAAAACATGCTGAAATTTATTCCAAAAACGACTGTCCATTTTTTCTCTTTTAGAGTCACTGGCGACCCAAGCTCAATATGAGAGTTTAATCATTAATACATGTGGTTTCATTTTGCGTAATCCTTTAAATGGCCGTGAACATAAAGGATTTGTATGGGAATTCACGTAAATGATTTAAGAATATAATTATATACTCGCTAGAATTTTAAATAAAATACCTGGGAAAATATCCACACAGCAAACAAAAACAAGTAAAGTAAATAAGGTAAGGCGTATTTTATTTATATTCTTGAATTTTTTACCTGGATTTTTATACAAATCCCTACATGTTCATGGTCATTTTAAGGATTATGCGCTATGAAACCACTTGTATTGGACAACCCTCGGGCCGTCTGTGTTAGAGCCAACAACATCCCAATACAGTCAATCAACTTTCCATCCCAGACAATTACTAGTGAGTCAAATTTGCAGGTTGATCTCGTAGGAGGTGGACTTGCTATTGAGCAAAACGACTATTCATGCAGTTAGTGTTATGCATAAACTGTGTTTATAATTTCCAAGGTTATGTTTGTTTTCAGGGTGTCATAAGAGTGTTTGCAGGCTTGTCAGGATTTGTGTTATCACCAGTTCTCTCAACAGGTATGCAGTAAATTATGTGAAGAAGTGCCAAAGATACCCTGCAAGCAGAGGTTTTTCTCTTGCATGGCTTTTAGCATTTACCAAGTCGTTTGCCTCGCTTGTCAGTCACGTAGTTGGTTTATAAAACAAACGACGCGAACGACTTCGTAAATGCCAAAAGCCGTGCAAGAGAAAAACCCCTGCTCGCAGGGTAACTTTACATTGAAAAGTAACTTGGTTTTGTTTTCCTTTTTTTCTTCTTCTTCTTCTTCTTCCAGATAACGTGGTCCACGCAAAAGCAGCAATAGTAGTGCAGATTGATCTTCAAGACTCCCTGCAAACAATGCTCGAGGGAAGCTTTAAATCGGGTAAAGTCTGAATAAAGAAGGGAAGGCGAAACAAAAGACAAGAGATAATGTTTTTTGTTTGTTTGTTGTTGTTGTTTTTTTTAATTCAGCAATTCTAGTAGTTTTTACTCTATTCTAAATATTATCTCTATGCTAATTATAATGATGATGTATTTTCAGTGACATAAACGTTCTCAAAACTAGCAAAGGGCTGCGTGTACATCTAAATTTCTTGATGTCCAAAGGCGAATATTTGTTTACATTTTTTGCCTCATTAGCATATGCTCATCATTATCTGATGAAGCCAATAAAATAAACCTCTGAATATTGAAAGAGCATAACAATTTCAGTTACTTCTGAAAATTTGAGCCCAATATACCGAACGGTTTCGGAGAAATTGTTTTGAAAAAACTCAGTTTTTACAAAGAATGTATGGTTCATTAACTTTTTTTTCCACTAAGTAATTTCGCAGTATTCGATAGCTAATATTTCCTTCAATATTGCTTGCAAGGAGCTGAAAATTGCACAAATTGCTCAAGTTATCAGCTCTTTTAGCTTATGAATTTAAATCGTACATACGGCCACAACTTCTGTGAGTTAAGTCGTACGCTAATGAGGAAAAATGTAAACAATGATGTCAGCAAAGATTTGCCCATACGCCGCTTCCACATCTCCCATAATGCACCTTAAATGTACCCCAAAATTTTGCACAACTTTTGTTTTTCATATCTCCTAGATAGTACAGCCGTCCCAAGAGAAAATGAAAACAATGCTTATGCAAAGTTCGGAGGGGGGGGGGGGGGGGGGGGGGGGG